AGCGTCATGGCGATTGGGAGGGAAGCGGGTGGGAACCTATTCCAAGAGGTCTGGAAGTAGCGAGCGAACGCTCGAAACTTAACTCGTAATCACGCGATGGCAGCGAGACATTAATATTTATCTCCAACCCCTTTTCCGCTCTGTTTCCTTCCCGCGGAGCAGGCAACTTGAAGAAACTCGGCGTCCTGTCGCTGAGGGACAACAAGCTCCAGTATCTACCGACGGAAGTTGGCCAGTGCACGGATCTTCACGTCCTCGACGTCTCCGGGAATAGACTACAGTATTTACCATATTCCCTGATAAATCTAAATTTAAAGGCCGTGTGGCTGAGCGAGAATCAGGCGCAGTCGATGCTCACCTTCCAGACGGACGTCGACGAGGAAACCGGCCAAGAAGTGCTCACGTGCTTTCTCCTGCCTCAACTCGAATACCATAACGACGGTATGTGTTGCATGAATTTTGTTAGCCATGGCCTTAAAATGGCATGGGCGGGGAGGGGTCTGTGACGACGATTTGCGATAAGGGGCGAGGGAGGGAGGGGGTCACGGGTCACTTCCGGATCGCACGGAATAGCCTGCCACTATCCAATTTTAGACTAAAGTTCGATTGTTTCGTTGTTCCCGGCATGATGATGACGACGACGATGATGACGAGTATGATAGCCTTTCGGATTGTACGCTCAACTTGCTCATCATAACCGCTCGGAAGCTTATTATAAGCTGCAAAACGAGACGAAGAGGGGAGATGGCAATGTCTCGCCGTGGAATTTACCTTATCGGCTTATTGCCAGCTCGGCATAGCCAACAGGTCGGGTTTCGATAATCGAGGCTTCGCCTTTCCTCCTTATTGTTATTAAAGCATCTCGCACGTAAGCTGGCTACCATCGGTGCCCGTTATTTGATAAACTCGACGTGCCGTCATCGGCCAATTAAAATCATCTTGACCCCCTCGGCGTCTCGAGTATTCCCGTGGCAGTCCAACCGAGCGCCCCAACAGTGCTACTTATGAGGGAACGAGCGAGATCAACAGTCAATCTCGCTAAATCATATGTTTCGATAATTCACAGAGAGCTCGCGTCTTGGCGCGATTGTCGGCGTGCGGAACAACAACACGTCCTCGGCCTCGGCGACCTCGGCCGCCGGAACTGCTGGCGAGATGCGCGAGATCGGGGCCGGGAGCAGCGACGAGGAAGCCTGGTCGGAGCGGGAGCACTCGAGGACGCACTCGGTGAAGTTCTCGGATGAGCCACCGGAGGCCGACAAGGAGGTGAGACGTCCCCGGCGAGACATCATCGCCGCCGCCGCCGCCACTGCCACTACTATCATCACCATCACCATTACCATCACAACCACCACCACCACCACCACCACCACCACCACCACCACCACCACCACCACCAATATTCCCCTTTCCATTATCCAGCCCCGTCCTAGTCGTGCTCCCTTTGCGATACGCACCACTCTCTATTCTCTTTTTGTCTCTCTAATTGTCGCGTCGGGGGAGAAAGTCGTGCATGGGTGGCTTCGCCACGCTCATTCGGACTGCAGTTAACACGTTTAAAGTAGATGGGGGTCGATGAGGACGAAGCCGCACTCGCTCACTCTTAATCGCTAGTCTTTGTTACTGCCGCTGCAGCCGTCGCCGCCGCCACCGCCGCTGCCACCTTAATCGCTACCGCTATAGCTGTTGCTATTTTCGTTGCTATTTTCGTTGATGTTGCTGTTGCCGTTGCCGTTGCTGGTGCCGTTGTTGTTGCCGTTGCTGTTGCTATTTGCCGTGGCCATTTCTGTCATCGCTCATATCACTACTGCTTCTGTTTTATGTTTCATTTTCGGTTCTTCTTATCCTTCTTCTTCTTCTTCTTCTTCTTATTATTATTATTATTATTATTATTATTATGATTATTATTATTATTATTATTATTATTATTTTCATTCTTTTCATTCTTTTCATTCTTTTCATTCTCTTTATACTTTTTCACGAGTGCGCGCGACGTAATTTTTTATACGACCTTTTGCTCTAGGATTATAGGCATTCAGTCTTTAGTTCTGAAAATGTTGATGTCTTGGTGAGAGACCTTTTGGGGTATCGTATCTTCGTTGCAATACCAAAGGCATTCGGATCTTTTTTCTTCTGCTTTTCTTTTTTTGTTATTTCCATGGAGAAGAAATCGATCACGTAACGAGATACCCTGGTACACCGTATGTGCTCTTATTTTACTTAGATCGATATCTTTACGCGGTTTCTTTCCCCTCCCCAAATTCATGATAACGATACCTTTTTATTATTACCGAATTATATACGATCACCTCTTGGATATTTTTTTTACACGCGCGCATAAATCCGCACACATCCGTGAGCACGTAGATAGGCACTTTAATGTAAAACGGCTGTCCCTTCAAAACTATGTATTACTTTATTAAAAAGTTATTGCGAGTACACCTGGGAATACACACACTAATTGTCATTATAATTTTTTCTTCTTTTTTTAAAATTTTTTATCGATATTAGTCCTGCACACAATTAATTCTTAAATAGAGAGAATAATAGCAATTAGAATGGCTATGATTTTTCAGGTTTCTAATTTTTGGTTTCTCTTCTTTTGGTGCCTCGGAGGCACCGTCTGAGCAATTAAGAATAAAAAGGTATATAGTGCATCAACGTTATCTTTGTTTTATATATATATATATATATATATAGTTGTTATTTGATACTGCACTGACAATACGATATCCTCTTACGTACAGTAGTGAGAGAAATTTTGACATACATATATATATATATGTATATATGTATATATATATATATATATATATATATATTAATTATTTTTAATTTTTTTTTTTTTTTTTTTT